ATTTTTGATAGCTTAAAGGGTACTATGTCTGGCACTAAATTCGTGACTCCTGCTTTCTTTTGTGTTCCATTCACCTGAAATTTTATTTCCCATCCTCTTACTTTGAGTCTGTGAGTGTCCTTTCTGATGAGATGTGTCTCTTGGAGACAATATATTGTTGTCTCATATTTTATCCATTTTGCCATTCTATGTCTTTTCAGTGGTACATTCAGTCTATTCACATTCAGGCTAATTATTGAAATGTGAGAGTTGGTCTTCTAATTTGTTGTCTCACAGGGGTTCTCTGAATCTCTTCTTGTGTTTGAATGATGTGATGAGAGAAGTTTTCTTGGATAATGTCATGGAATGTTTGTTCCAGGGCAGTCTCTGTCTCTCTTTCTGCCTTGGGAAGTCCAATTAATCTTAGGTTCGACCTCTTACAAGAATTGCTCATCTCTTGAAGGTTTTTTTCTGTCTTTTTAAACTTCTTTTCTATGTTTTTGATAGTTTGGGTTAGTTCCATATTTTTGTCCTCAAGCTCTGAGATTCTTCTGCTTGGCTAATTCTGCTTTCCATGCTTATCAGTTTGTTATTTATTTCATTCACTCTATTCTTTACTGCTGTTCTCTCAATTATCAACTCCATTCTTTCCTCTTGTCTCTCCTCAATTCTCTTTATTCTCTCTATTAATATTTTGATATCTGGGTTTGTGGTTTGAAACCAGTCATTCTGAGGACTTTTCATTGTGTGCATTCTGAAGTCTGTATTCTCAGGGGTCTGTGTGAGACCCATATTTTTCCTTTGGTTTTTCTTCATTTGTGTAGATTTTCCTCTCTATTCCCCTACCCTTTTTTTAAACCTCTTTTTTAATTCTGTTGTTGAGGGATGGGCGTTAGCTTTTACTTCTGTTTGCTCAATCTTCTATTCTTCCTTATGTGGATCCTCTGGCTTTGTTCAGTTCTGAAGCTGGGCTGTGAGTTGGGGACTATACTTTTTGAGTTTTGAGATTTAATTGAGGGGGGAGCTGTGATTCAGAATCTATCTGCAGATCCCAGTATCTACTGACAGGTGTGTGGGCCCTCTGGAACTCACTTCCCACTGCCTTATAATCTGTCCATGCAGTGGGGGTAAACGTTTGCTCCCTGACAGCAAAGTGAGATAAGGAAAATGAAAAGAATGGAAAAAGGAAGGAGGGGGGCAAGAAGAAGATGGATAGAGAGAGAAGAGTAAGAAGGAAAACAGATAGACGTACCAACCAACTTGCTGTCTGTGTTGTCTCCCACTCAAATCTGATGTGTCTGTGTCTGATCCAGCATGGGGGAGGGGAGTCTGTCTCTCCAAGTTTGATGAGATTACCTCTAGGTCCCAAGTTGAAGACTGGGTGGAGCTGGATGGGGTAATGCAGGTCTTTGCCTAGTCCTGGGTCAGACAAAATGGCTCCAGTTGGTGTTTCCTCACTGGTGGTGGTGCTCCTCTCTCCAGCTCTCCCCAGTCTTCTCTCTCCATGGTTTGATCTGAGGCTCCAGCCTCTTTGCTGTCCCAGGTGATGATGTGGGTCGGGTGCCAGGTGATGAGAATCAACTGGATTCAACAGGCTTTTCTCAGGAGAGCCCCAAGAACAACAGATGATCCTGCACACCGGTGGCTTCAATCTCAGGGCAGTGGGGGAGTTGCAGTCACCTCTGGAGGAGAGCCCTGGGTACATGAACCCGAGTCTCCCCTCTGACAGACTTTCTCTCAGCCACTGGCTCATGCCTACTCACACAGAGAGTCTTTATGGACACTCGCTTTTGCAGAGACTCTCACAGTCTGACCTGTCCCATTGCCATATTGCTAGAAGTCCCCTGTGTGTGTTTTTGAGTATTATGATGTATTCTCTGTTGATTCTGTACTCTGCTGTTCTCTTGGGCAACTTTGTTCTTTTGAATCGGTATTACTTTGACTATTCTGGGTCTTTTGTAGTTCCACATTAATTTTGGGATCATTTTTTTCTATTTCCATGAAGAAGGTCATTGATGCTTTTATAGGGTTTGTATTGAATCTGTAGATTGCTTTGAGTAGTATGGACACTTTAACAATATTGATTCTTCCAGTCCATGAACATGGAATATCTTTTATTTTGTGTGTGTGTCAATTTGTTTCATTTTCAATTTCATTTCAATTCATTTCAGTTTGTTTCATCAGTGTTTTGTTTGTTTGTTTGTTTGTTTGTTTTCATTATAGAGATCTTTCACTTCTTTGGTTAAGTTTATTCCGGTATTTTATTGTATTTTAGCTATTGTAAATGAGATTACTTTCTTGGTTTTTTCTTCAGATCATGCACTGTTGGCACATAGAAATGCTACTGATTTTTGTATATTGATTGTGTATCCTGCAACTTTACTGAATTTGTTTATCAGTTGACCAGAGTACCTAGCCTTTGTTAAGAATCATACGTACTGCTAAGAGGACATACCTATTGGTTTAGACTGGCTTTGTGTCATTGGAATGTGGGAGCCTATAACCCTGACAGGATCAAGCCTGTTTGTATACACACACTTGGCCCACAAGCAGGGTTCACATACCACTTTGTCCCCACCCCACTAGTCTACCCTGTTTGGTATAGAAAATGAAATAGAATTGGAGCTCATAGAGCCTAGGATACTAGCCTAGGTACTCAGATGTGTCAATAAGTGTGTACATGCCTGACTTTTCCAAGCATATGTGCATGTTATTGTTGCCTGTGTGGAGTTAGGTGATGGAGAAACTTCTCCATTACTTAGTTATCAACAGAGACCCATTATCTCTTTTTCTGCCATCACACATGTGTTCTCATATAATTTCACACATGTCTACTGTGTGAATGTTGCACCCTCTTCCCCAGCTATGATGCTCTTGTGCTCCCCCAAATTCAGTATTTATAGAAGTATGCAGCTTTCTATTAAGTACTCAAAAATAATACAGTGTTTCTCTACTGAAGTGTCTAAAGTAGAATCCTAAGCTTTTTTAACATAGATTTTCCACATTCTACTTAAATAAATACGTGTACCTTTTTATACTTCTGATTTGCTAAATGGAATGTAACAATAAATTCAGATCACATGTTATAAAGTATAAAAGCATGTATTCGTTATTTTTTTCTTAAATGGTGAAGTTAGAAGTGCATAGTCCTCTGAATTTCTGAACAAAAAGCAGCATGTGCTTCTTTTAAGGCCCTGGGTCTGTTCAAGACTTGCTGTATGAGCTACTAGATAGAAGAAACCTTGTTTAGCACTGTCCCAAAATCTCAGTCAGGAGTGAGTTCAAAGCCCCCCAATACCTCAAGTTCCCACAAAAATACAAACCCCAGAATAAAGTTAATCTTCTTCTTAGTGTTATACTGGATTGGAAAGACTAATAAGCTTTCATTTAAGAAATGGCTTTTGGTAACATAAATTCACATTGGAAATATAATTTTATCATGAGGTTGCTTCCCTAGTCTTTTATTTTTAAATTTTGTATTATGGAACATTTCAAACATATACAAAATTAGAGAATAAGATTATGAAGCTTTATGCGACATTACCAAGTTTTAATGGTTATTAATATTTTGTCAATTATGTTCTAACTAAAGCTGCTTCCCTTTTTTTCTTTACCTCATGATATTTAAATTTCAGACAACTTGTCAATCCACCTGTAAATATTTCAACGTTTATTGCTAGCTTATAAGGTCTTTTAAAACATAACTACCAATGCTATATCATACCTATAAAATTAATAAAAATTTCTTAACATTATCCAGTACTTTCTCATATTAAAATTTCTCTGTCTCAAAAATATTTTTTATGGATTGTTCAAATTAGAATCCATGTAAAGTTCATACATTATATTTGACTGTTTATGTCTCTTGGGTCTTTTTTGTCTATTAAATATTTATATTTTTTCTTTAGATGTGCTTATAATTTATCAAAGAAATTTAAAAGAAAACATTGCTACCAAAATTAATGCTTTAGATTTTATCTTTAAATCATTAGTTTGTACATTCTTTACATTTTAAAATTCATACATACTTAATGCTGAAATGGAAAAGGCTGACAAAAAGAAAAAAAGGTGTTTCTGGGTTTTTTTATAATTCACACACAGTTCTGATTGATTTTATTATTCAAGAGCAGAAACCAAATGCAGAAATTTGACCCTCACTATATTTGAGTTCATGTATGTCTATATTAAATCACATTTTAAGGCTACATTTTAGTTTGACCTAACTAAATTATCACTTTACTTACGAATACAAAATGTGTAAGTAATGAGCCTTTTGCTTCTAGAATTTTATATTTTTTTGTCTTTCAGATTTTGAGTTTGCATATCTGTATAATAAATAATAAATTTGAATGAAGACAATGTTTTTCTACCAATCATGAGTGTTTCTATCTCTTCTACTGTTAACAGTTAATATACCTCAGTGGTCTGTCCATTTGATGATATTCCCACTGAGTTCAATCTGATATCTCAAAATGATTTTTCTTTGTAAAAATGGTTGAATCATATATTTGCTTCCTTTTTTTTTTTGAGTTGGAGTCTCACTCTGTCACCCAGCCTGGAGTGCTGTGGCACACTCACAACCACCCCAGTGTCGACCTGCTGGGCTCTGGTGATCCTTCCGCTTCAGCCATCCAAGTAGCCAGAACTACAGGCATGCACTACCACACCCGGCTAATTTTTTATTTATTGTAGAGATGAGCTCTCGCCAAGTTTCCCAGGCTAGCCTCAAACCTGCGGGCTCAGGCAGTCCTTTTGCCTCAGCCTCCCGAAGTGCTGGGATTATAGGCTGAGCCACCGAGCCTGACCTGCTTCTTTTTTTTAATACTTACTTTGATATTCTACCAGGTTGGCGTGTTATTTTCTTTTAACATTAGTAGGAGGACAGAAAAGAATTTCTTCTTTCACTATAATTTTAACACTACCAATCCTTGATTTAAATTGTGCAGTGCTGCTAAAATGCCTCAAAATTTTATCATTTCTTTTTATAAATGCTCAATCTTGTGATATATTTCCTTTCTTAGTATATGAACGAGTCTGCCAAACAAGAAGATATTTTGGAATCCACAACAGATGCTGCAGAGTGGAGTCTGGAAGTAGAACGTGTACTACCACAACTGAAAGTCACGATTAGGACTGACAATAAGGTATGGAGGAAAGAATGCGTTTTCCTTAAAACAATATTTATTAAATTTTTTTATCATATCATAAGGCAATTTCAGTGTTGGGTACCCCCAATGATACAAATGATTTAAGGGCAGCAGGATTCAGTTTTCAGCATTTTGTCTTAATATGTATTTAACAAATTGTTAAGTAAGTAAATAATGTAATATGGTCCCCAAAAAATGTATCTTTAAAAGAGTAATTTGGATATATCATGTTTCCCTGGGATTGAGGGATATTTTCTCAGTACATTTTGATGTATTTTTTTGGAAATCATGTTTTATTTAGGTGAATAGGAATTCCATGACTATCCCAACTGATTAGGGTTAGAAGATGCTTTAGAACTCTGTTGGATGGCAAAGCAGAAGGCAACCTAGAAGTAGTCTTAGATAATCTATTCAATACATGTGATTAAAAGTTAAATATTAATAAAATAGTCAAGAAATAAGATTTAGAGATTAAGACCAGATGAATTGACCCACTGTGTCAAGTTTCTGCTTTCTATCTACAGTTTTATAAGTGCTACCCACTGACCCTTGAACAACACAGGTCTGAATGGCACAGGTCCAGTTATAGGTGGATTTTTTTCACTAAAAGTTACACTGAATGTGCCTGCCTCTCTTGCCTTGCCTTCCACCTTCTTCACTTCTGCCTTTGCCACCTCTGAGACAGTAAGACCAATTCCTATTCCTCCTCAGCCTACTTAATGTGAAGACACAAGGATAAAGACCTTTATGACGATCCACTTCCACTTAATGAATAGGAAATTTAGTTTCTCTTTCTTATGATTTTCTTAATAGGATTCTTTTCTTTAGCTTACTTTAGTAAGAATACAGTATATAATACATATAACATACTAAATATGTGTTAATCAACCACTTATGTTATTTTTTAGGCTTCCAGTCAACAATAAGCTATTAGTGGATAAGTTTTTGAGGAGTCAAGAGTTATATATGGATTTTCAACTGCATGGGAGGTCAGTACCTCTAAACCCTTGCATTGTTAAAGGATCAACTGTAATGACCTCAGAATGAGCTAATAGGTGGCTAGACAATGCTATTCTCATTAATATTATAATAATCTCTACAAAAGAGACATCTAGGTAAAGAAACTGAAGGAAAATTTTTATCCTTGAAGGAAGGTTCTAGGGAAGCTTATCATTCTGAAAGTGTAGTGCTGTGTCTACCTTCCAGAGTAGAAGTCCTACAAAGATTGCTGTTTTCAGAATGCTTTGGAGGCTAATTCATTTTTAGAATGTCTGGATTTGGGCTTGTAGAACTGTATCTTGTACCAGGTAGAAAGTAACCTAGATTCCTAGGGCAGTTCCAGAATAGGATAAGAACAGAGGTCTTAATACACTGTTAACAGCTGTAGAACAAACTCTATTCAAGGTAAGTGGACAAATCTGTAGCTTATTTATCCAGCCATTATGAAGGACAACTATTATTTGTCTGCAATGGAAGTGAATTATTTGTTTGCATAACTCTCATATGTGAAAATATATTAATTAGAATGTCTTCTTTATTCAGTAGATCTTTGCTGGAAATCTTCACTTGCAAATATGTGTTGTTGTTGTTGTTTTGCAGAAATGTAATTTCTGATTCTTTGGTTTTGTCAGGACAAATTCTCTTTACAAAATTAAAAATCACTATTATAGTAATTCTAGTTAGAATGACATGTTATAATAATTGTGTAGGTGGGAATTCTCAGGTACAGCTTAATCCCACAAGGAAGCAAGTTTAATTTGTTTACTTTTAAGCTGAGTAAACTCTTGAAGTCAAAGTCTCATTTAGAACCAAATAGGTTTTCTTTTAAAACAATCATTGATTTTCACATAATAGGAGTAACTAAGAAAGAAAGAATATAAATGTAACTGCAAACACATACTCTTTTACAAAACTAAGTGCAGTTCAAATTCTATAACAAACCAATATCAAAATCCTGGGTTCTTGAAGAATCACTGTTCTCCTGATTTGGGGAAGAATTAATTAACTAGTTGAGAGTTGAACTCTTATTCTCATGCCATACTATCAACCTTAATCTTATGAGGACATACTCTGCCAAATTAATTATACAATTCAGTTTTGTAGGCAGTGTTTAAAAATATCAGGTAAAGTTCCCTTTTTTCAATATGTTTTAGAAATTATTTTGAACTTAGATTTTTGTGGTAAAAACTACTGACCTGAAGTCATATTTGATTACTTTTTCAAAATTCCTCTTTAGATAAAAGTATGTTTGTGTCCAGTATTCCTGTACTCTTCTTGCTTCTAAGTCTTTCAGATAAAGCCATTGGGAATGCAGCTTTAGGGTCAATTCTTTCTTCAGCTTACTTAAAAAAAACACACGCACACACGCACACACACACACACACACACACATTGGTTTGAGAAAATAAGGTGCTAATGAATAAATGCTTCTCATGTCTCAGAAATAAAAATAAAATAATTTGATTGCATGTGAGGATTCTTTCACAGACTCTTTATCCTCTGTCAGAAGAGGTTGACTCCAGCATCAAGATAGATCCCATTCTTTCTAGATTCCTGACTCTACCAAAACCAAAACCTCTTGACTTTTGGCCCAAATAATAGCCTTTCATCCTATACCAGTGATATAGGACATCTAGAGAATTTTCCTCAAGATGAATTTGAGAATCTTTTTAGACAACATATTTATTATTTGGGGGTCAATGTGTTTTACTGGTCACCATTGAATTAATTTTGAAGTGACTTACAGATGTGGAAGATAAGTAATAAAGGGTCTCCATTATTTCAACTTGTTATGTTTCTTTTAAATGGTCATGCACTTGTCATAAATAAGTCCCATGTTTATTTGGCACTGTATCAAATATTTGTTTTGTGCTTTTCTCTCCCAAGTTTAGTTTATTTCTTTTATGTTCCTAGCAGATAATTTTTTTAAACATCTCTTTTTCTGTTCTTTTTGGATAATATAGTATATATTATAGTATATATATTTGATGAGATTCTATCATATACCAATATTTTATTTTGTATTCTATTCCTAACATTGAAATCAGGTTTTTGTTGCTAAACTAGCTTATCCTTATTGTCTGGTACTGCTTGCTACTGTTACCACTTCTCAAAGAATGCAAACTAATTTCAATATTAGCTTAAACAAAATAAAATTAGGAAAATAAATGTTGTCAGAAATACAAATAATATGCTTCACCACTGAAGATAAATAATTTTTGTTACATACTGATGTGAGTGGACTATATTAGTAGTTCCCTTTTTAGCACTGGTTATAGTGAGTGCTCCTGGTAATTATAGTTGACCCTTGAACAATGTGGAGAGAGTTTAGGGACGCTGATCTCCATGCAGTCAACAAATCCATGTATAACTTTGACTTCTCAAAAACTTAACTAGTAGTGGCTTACCGTTGACAGGAAGCCTTATTGACAACATATATAGTCGATAACAGTCGATTTTGTGTGTTATATGTATTATATACTATAATCTTACAATAGTGCAAGCTAGAGAAAAGAAAATGTTATTAAGAAAATCATAAGAAAGACAAACTATATTTACCATTTATTAAGTAGAAGTGAATCATCATGAAGGTCTTCATCCTCATTGTCTTCATAATGAGTAGGCTGAAGACAAGGAGAAAGGGGGTTGGTCTTGCTGTCTCAGGGAAGGCAGAGACAGAAGAGGTAGAGGAGGTGGAAGGGGAGGCAGGAGAGGCATGCACACTCGCCATAACATCATGGAAATACATTGTAATTTCTGTCTGACTTTTTGCACTTTCATTTCTCTAAAAATGTTTCTGTGTGGTACCAATTATTCTTCAATTGTTTGTTTTAGTTTCAGCGCCCATATCATAGAAGGGTCCATGTTATAAAATAACGTAAAAGCAATCTTGGATAATTAGAACCCCTTTGCTGGATTATCTAATGTAAATTTGTTTTTCTGGCATTGCTTCTTCTGCATCTTTCTCACTGTCTGGCACTGGTTTAGAAGCACTCATCTCCTTCAAGTTGTCTTCTGTTAATTCCTCTGTTGTGGTATCTGTTAGCTTTTGAAGTTCTCCAAAATCCATATTTTGAAATTCTTCCACCCCCCCTCCCCCAACCATTTTGCTATATCCGCAGTCTCTTTCATGATTTCCTTGATTGGTTCTGTCATAAATCCTGTGAAGTCACATGCAACATCTGGACACAGTTTTGTCCAGCAGGAATTTATTGTTTCAAGCTTGATGGTTTTCACAACTTTCTATTACAACGATGGCATCTTCATTGGTGTGATCATTTCAGACTTTTATGATATTTTCTCTACCAGGGTTCTCTTCCATACATTTGACAATCCTTTCCTTACCGTGTGCAACAACCTTAAAGATCATTATGACCACCTGTTCTAAAGGCTGAGTTAGAGACATTGTGTTTGGGGGCAAGCAGACCACTTTGACTTCTTCGGTGTTGGGCTCATGGGGTTCTGGGTGGCCAAGCACATGTCCAACATCAAAAGAACTTTAAAAGGCAATACTTGCAAGGTACTTCCTATCTTTAGGGACAAAGCATTGATAGAATCAGTCCAGAAAAAGAATTCTCATTATGCAAACCCTTATTGTAGAACCAAAAGATTGGCAACTGATGTTTAACATTTTCCCTGAAGGCTTGGGGGGTTAGGAGCTTTATAGAAAAGGGCAATCAAACCAGACGGTATTTGCCCAAAAGAATAGAGTTAGCCTATCTTTTCCTACTTTAAATCCTAGTATACCCTTCTCTTCTTTATTAATTAATGTCTTTTGTTTTTTGGTTTTTTTTTTTTCAGAATAGGGCACTTTTGTCTGCATTAAAAATCTATTCAGGCAGATATCCTTTCTCCTCAGTGATTATCCTAATGGCAGCTGGGAACTTGTCTGTTGCCTCTTGATCATCAGAAGCTGCTTCTTCTGTTATCTTGCCATTTTTTAAAGCCAAACCTCTTTCTAAAATTATCAAACCATCCTTTGCTGGCATTAAATTCTC